TATTTACCTTCAACAGTGATATAGAATGTACATGAAGCACTGTTTCCTGCTGTGTCTGTAGCGGTGTAGGTTTGAAAATCGTCCTTGGTAATAAAGATCGTAACCACGGGCGTTCTATTAGGAACCGCCACAGGACTTAAGGCGGTAAGTGCTACATTATCAGTCGGTACAGGAACAATCCAATTAATTAATGCTGCTCTACTTCCAGGTTCCGTTTCTTCGGTAATATTGCTAGGACACGTAATATTTGGAGCTTCTTGATCTGGGAATCAATATAGAACAATTTAAGTATAATAAAAATATAATTTTGTATGGTAACATTTTTTTTAGGACCCCAGACCATTTTGAAAAATATGAATAATGAATAATAATATATGTTGCTGTGTTTGATGTACCTGTCTGATAGTGCTTATATTGTATTTTTACCTTAGTCATCTGATGAATTTCACTGTATGGACGAAAGCTAGAGAATAAATTCTACATTGTTAGTCTTAAAAGTGCTGCTGTTATTTCTTTTATATTGTTCTATAGTAGACTAATGCGGCTACACTTTTTGTAGATGTTTAAAAAATGAATGAAATAATTTTGAAAGGATGTAACGAGTGTGGTACCATGCAGGGGCGGACCCAGGTTTGTATACGTTGTTGAATAAGCGAGGGTGCATGTAATGAAGTAGTTTGAAGGTCTGGAAAAGATGTGCTTCTTAGTTGAGTAAAAATGTAGTTTAGCACTCCGAGAGATCTGTTAATGACTTAGATTTTTTTTTAGCTTTTTGGATTTGTTATGGGCTGGCATAAAACAAAAATGTTGGTGACATACACTAGGGGTAACACGGTCAGAGTAAAGAAAATAATACTATCAAGTATACATACATAAATAAATGAATAAATAAATAAATAAATAAATAAATAAATAAATAAATATATAAATAAATAAATAAATAAATAAATAAATAAATAAATAAATAAATAAATAAATAAATAAATAAATAAATAAATAAATAAATAAATAAATAAATAAATAAATAAATAAATAAATAAATAAATAAATAAATAAATAAATAAATAAATAAATAAATAAATAAATAAATAAATAAATAAATAAATAAATAAATAAATAAATAAATAAATAAATAAATAAATAAATAAATAAATAAATAAATAAATAAATAAATAAATAAATAAATAAATAAATAAATAAATAAATAAATAAATAAATAAATAAATAAATAAATAAATAAATAAATAAATAAATAAATAAATAAATAAATAAATAAATAAATAAATAAATAAATAAATAAATAAATAAATAAATAAATAAATAAATAAATAAATAAATAAATAAATAAATAAATAAATAAATAAATAAATAAATAAATAAATAAATAAATAAATAAATAAATAAATAAATAAATAAATAAATAAATAAATAAATAAATAAATAAATAAATAAATAAATAAATAAATAAATAAATAAATAAATAAATAAATAAATAAATAAATAAATATAGAAAACAAATGCGATATGTATTAACTTCAGAAACGCTATATTGGAGGAAACCAATATTTCGACCTATCCTTAGGTTTTAATATTGTAACTTGTCATTAAGCACATTAACGCCCCTACCCAAGAATACAAAGTTATTATAGTTTCATTTAGCCTAATATGTGTCATTCTTTTTTGTTTTATATCTTAATGTGATTATTTTTAGTGGAACTTGGCACATGATGGCGGCTTTCATGAATTGTACTACTTATATTTTATTATATTTCGTACCTGTAACTGTGACAGTGAACATGCACGATTGATCTTCGTTACCATAAATATCGACGGCAGTGTATGTTATGACAAACGTGCCGATTCCAAATTCATCCCCACTCGACGATGGAGCTGAAGTAAGTGTCACTGATTCCCCCGAATTGTCGAAAACGTCAGGTGCCGTCCAGTTGACTATAGCGGTGGAGCTATCATTTCCAAGCATTATGATAGTGTTATTTATACAACTTACTACAGGTGGTACATTATCTACGATGAAAACAAAACAGAAATAAATTGTATCTGTTGTTATCAATTACGTAAGCTCGGATCGTTTTGCCCCTTTACCTAGCTCGTCCCTAATAACTGTATCTAATTTAAAAACTTTTTATGGTAATACAAAAAATCAAATATTCACTGAATTTTATTTACCAGATTTGGGGATTGGACTTAGGTTCGTGAAAACTCGATACAAATTCGTATTATTTTTTCGACACAAACGCCATCGGAATGGCATTGCAGTACCCGCTAATACTTGAGGATCGGGTTCATCACTCTATAACCACTAAGCGCAAGCTCGGTGGTCTAATGGTTAAGACACCAGACTAGTTATCTGGAGGTAGTGGGTTTGTTTCTGCTTGCCAGATTTTTTTGTTGTTGAGGTATTTGGTACGTACTGAGCATAGTAGAATAACACGTCAGGTAGGGCAAATAAATAATTAACCTACTACTGTTGCATTTCAAAAGTAGTTACTTACCTATGATCTCTACGTTAAAAAAACATGTAGTGTTGATGTTTCCTGACCCATCTGTTGCATTGACAAACACAGTATGGTTTCCAATAACCAACAATTCGTCTATCTGAATATTTGTGGTAATATTTGGAGGTACACCCGAGTTATCTATTGCTGTAGGATTTTGCCAATTTGCAGCACCAGTATTTGTTTGAATATCTGTAAATATATCTTCATCAGGAGGGCAGAATGTTATTATTGGTGCCTCGTTATCTAGGGAAAAAATGTATTAGAATTTTAACAAAATATAACAATGATAAAACTATTAATAATAATAATAATAATAATAATAATGATGATAATAATGATGATGATAATAATAATAATAATAATAATAATAATAATGATAATGATAATAATAATAATGATAACAATAATAATAATAATAATAATAATAATGATAAGAGCACTCAGTAGAGTGCATATCTCCACCCACCGCAAATCCCTTTCTATTGAAAATAAATCTACAAAAATGGAAATATATGAAAATAGTCAAATTAATAAGAAATATGGGGTATTGAATTTTAGTGTCACACTGTGAATATTCCCAATTTTAGGACATTTCTTGTAATTTAAATATTCATCATACAGCTATTGTTATCTGCCTACGGTATATGGTAAACATTCTTTAAATGGTCCTCATATCCACACCCAACTTCAGATCGTGACCAAAATTTAAACACTTCTTCATTGAAACATGGCAAACTATATCTGAAAAGTGTCATTTTGATCCATTGATCTGTTTTAGAGATATTTAGGTCTGGGATCTAATGACCCTCAAATGCACACCCAAATTTAATCACCTCATTCTTGGGTCATACAGTACCTAACACTCCCTGTAGCTTCCATTTAGATCTGTGCAGCAGTTTAGGAGATATGTTGATTCTTTGAACACAAACACGCATACACACAAACAAAAACGTGGCAAACACACAAACTTTACACGACTGAAAATATATATCTCCTAGTGGAGATAACAGATTTCGCAACCTTACGAAAACGATAACGAATACGTCATTATCATTATCATCATTCGTGCCTAAAACATCCTTGACAATAGCCTGTACGAGCTGAATACGATCCTTGATTCATGCAAAAGGCATGAATTGCCTACGTTGTTACAGATATACGGTATGCTACTGTATGTTAAAGGTTGTCTAAAAAGTTTATGACGTAACTGTATTCGTTATCGTTTTTGTAAGCTTGCGAAAGCTCCCTAATAAAATAATGTACGAAGAGGTAATGATGGAGATATTCTCCTGGCAATTTGCGACATATGGGTGTTAGTAATAGGTTTCTCTGTGAGTTGTCACTGAACGACCTACTTTACAGCATAACAGACACAACAAAGACCATTAACTTTAGTAGTGCAGAATGGAATATTGCTCAGGTGAGGCTATTAATGCACACAAATATCAATCAAAAGCAATCATTCCATTTATAGGCCCTACATGTAGCCAGTCAACAATGCACACAAATACTATGAATAATAATAATAATAATAATAACATTTCGTAATTTTGGGCAGTTTACGTGTTTTGTATTAAAATAGATTAAAAATAACACATGTCTGGAATCATATGCTAGACATTAACAGGCCCGTAGCCAGGTCATTTTAAGGGGGGGGGGTTCTCTTGGCGTGGGGTCCAGAGGGCCTGCCCAAGGGCCCTGGTGGGGTCGGGGGCGAAGCCCCCGAAGCCAGAGCAGTTTTTTTTTTTGTGTTTAAATGGGTCTATATAATGTTATAAAAGCTGTTATGTTTTGAAAAAGATCTATGTAATAAAAAGGTGGTAATATAATAAAATTATAAAATATTTCATGAGAGGATTTCCCGTACGATTAAACATCGTAACGGGCTTGGTCTACAGGAGTTCGTGCTTCGAACAGGTCATTCCATTCATAGAAGAAGCCTTTTGATGGAGAAAGTGTCCTTTTTTAGCAAAGGTTTGTCTAGGTCGAAACTAACTCCGGCTATATAAAAATTGATTAGAATATTGAAAATGTTATTCGTGTAATGAATAAAGATTACTAGGCCTAATATGTCCATTTTTATTGATCTAATCTATGTGTATTTACTTTCATAGTTTATATTTAAAATTGTTTATAAATTTATCTAAAATACTATATGAAATAATGTAATCATTAAAATCTATGATAATAATTGATATTTAAATAAAGCAAAAAATTGAAACATGTAAAATACAGACACAAAGTATACATAGACCTATTTATAGATTACAGAAAATATGTAAATCTGTATTAAAATGATATACATTTATATATATATATATAAGTTGAGACGGGAGCCGGGTTTTTATCGATGTTTGCCATCCTTATATGTAAGCCATCGTAAATTCATGGTTTGCCGGAGTTGCGTTCAATTTAAATCTCCGAACTTCTGAAGCTGAGATATTCCATGAATGAAGGCTTGTATCGCAGGCTAGAATTTAAAAACGGGTCACCAAATAATGAATTAGGTGCTAAATTTTGATTTAATGCTGGGTAAGTTAAAAACAGACATTCCGTCCGAGTGGGACTCATTCAAAAATTTGAGGGGGTTCGCTAGAAAAGGGGGGTTTGTCCGAACCATAAAAACCCCCCCTGGCTACGGGCCTGATTAACAATGAATAAAGACGATTCGATTTTAGTTTACTTTGTATGTGTGCTTCATATTCAAATTAAGTTGGCAATCTTTAGGAGTAGCACTAACTCAATCCTAAAATAATAAACATTATTATTCATGATGATGCTGCACAACATTTAAGGTCAAAATGCCAATATAATGTGGGCAGTCGTTACTTATTATTTACAAGACAATTAATAAAGTCAGTGTGAGGGATTGATAACTGCGCTAGACCCACCACATTTCTAATACTTATCTTGAGAAGATAAGTAATGTTTTATTCTTTGGGATTATGTCAACTGGAACGTAAACATAAAAATTATATTTTAAGCTTCATACCTTCAACACTGATGACAAAAGTGCACGAAGTGTTAACATTCCCATAGGCATCAGTTGCAGTGTACTCTACGGTTGTATCGCCAGCTGGAAAATCATATGAGGTGTTGTGTGTGCCAACAATGTCAGGGGTGTCCCCAGAGTTGTCGGTGGCTGTTGGTGTCTCCCAGGTTGTCATTCCAGTTGGTTCTCCTACGGTAGTATTGATAGATTGGTCATCGGGACACATTGTAAATACCGGAGCCTCTTCATCTGTCGGTAAGACAAGTATAATAACAGATGTGAGAGATATAATATTGTCACAACTAACTTAAGCCTCTAAATAGGCAGTTGTTCAATAAGATGCATACAGTTTGTTAACAAACTGGTCATCCATTCTAATGTCAAACATCAAGGAAGTCATTAGACCAGATGTTTCAATGCATTGTCAGATACTTAAACTGAAAAATGACACAATGCAATTTGTAACAATCAATCAAACTTAGAACTTACTGTAATTTAAAGGAAAGTTTTTCATGCAAACACTACTACTTATTATTTCCTCAGAAAGTAAAATTCCGGCTAACTAAACTTAGAACAAGATTTCACACTCTTATGATTCGACTTGCCACAAGTACCTTATCATTTTTATTTTTTCATTCTGGACAGCGTCACCAACGAGAAAGTTAATTTAGAGACGGAATAAAAAATTAAAAAAAAAAAGAAATCGAGTATGGGACAGAGGTATTGGACGCACTAAGTGCAATAAAGAGTGAGTAACCCAAACATAGGGCCTGGAACTCAAGCTATCTTATGATAGACTAGAATTTCAATCCGAGACCTTCTGCTGTCCATGAAGACGTCTTAACCTACTGGGTCA